TTAGGGTCGTATGACCTATTTGTGGCAGCCCAGGAACCACAGCCATGCACAGCAGTGTCCAAGCCAGGCCCTTAACTAAACTGACCCTTCTCCCATGCCCTTTGTGAAATATTCTAGAGACTTAAACTTACCTTGTGAAAAACTTGCATATTGTAAGGGGTCTTCTTGTATCCTTTTGTGTTTCAAAATTTTTCCAGTTCATTCTGTCAGGATGGAAAATATTTGTAGCCTCTTTTCAGTACTGAAATATATTGGTGTATAAAGAATAGGTTAAGAAAAGAAATACATAACAGTACTATTAATATGACATTTTAATTGCTACATCAGACATGTTTTCAAGTACTAAGTGCTAGCAACTGATAAAAAGAGGTTCACATTAAAAAAACCCTGAATGATTGAAGCCATTTAGAGGCCTTTATTGTACCATGCTGTCAAAATGCCCAGCTGACCTTTTCTACATGGTAAATTTCTCCAAGAAGAAATGTATACAAGCTATTTTAATAGCTCTTATCCTCCTTCAATGCCCCCCCCCGGTTTTTGGATTAGATAATGGTCAGAGCAAGAGAAATGCCAAATCCTTACACTCAAGATGGCCAGATGACCAGGGACATTATATATGAAATCTCTGCAAACCTTATTTAATTTTTTTGCACAGGCAGATGATTCTGAATGTACCATTTACCATTCTTTTACACTTTCAGTCCATAACAATCATGTAAGTGGCAGCCCTCTGCTAATTCACACTCAGTAGCAGAAGGCAGCATATAGACATGATCTCTTGAGTTAGGCTGGACCACTCCTTGGCATAAATAATGCACAGACTGTGAGGCGATATGTGCTCCTGCACTCCCTATGCTTTGAAAAGCTCATCATCCTTGTAGCAATAGTTCAATAGTCTGCTGTTAGTATTACCATACCTCAATCCACGTTCACCCAAAGGCAATATTGTGGCTGCATCTACATAGCACTTGAAACCTAATATTCAGGTGGACCAAGATGCAGCAACTTTGAGGGAAATTAGGAGTGACAGTGCCTTGGAAATACCAGTGCCAGAGGGGACCAAAGTCATTGGTTTATTCAGAGCAGGACAAGTTTCTACCCTAGTTTTTGCCCAGGAAAAGGCAAAGGCAAAGAGTTGAACATGTACTCCCTGAAAAGAAAAAAAAATCAGTGGAGGTGTGGAGAGTGGGAGGCAGTCACTGATCATGGCAGTCCAGTGCATCCTAAAACCTCTCTTAGCAGAGTAATTATCTCTTCCACACAGGCTCTGAAAGTCACTGGGGAAAATTCCCTGTGAATGCAGTACAGTCAGATATTAATAAAATCTTTTTCTGCTTTTACAACATATTTATATGTAAGTGTGACTTAGAGTTCTGTGTCAAGTCGTCACCAGGGCTGCAATCCAACGACCTGCAGAAACACAAAGTGTTTCTGCACTTCAGGATAATGTTGATTTAAGGGCTGGTGCAATAGAACACATGGGCTATTTTATTTAGTTTCTTGGCATTTGTATTCAAAAATTGCCCTATAAAGAAGAGAGAAGACATTAAATAAAGTCTAAATGCTCTTAAATCACAAAGAAACATTGTGTTTAAAGTGAACTGAAACATTTGGATAGGCCCAAAATTGCTTTTTTTCATGGAGAAATATTTTGTTGATGTGTTAAATTTAAACTGAAAATCTCTGACTGTGACTTTTTCATTTTTTGGTACTTTCTTAGGTTATCAAAATAAAATAGGTATTATTCTTCCAGCTCTTTGAAAACATAGGCTGGGCTGTGATTCGATCTCATGCCTCTAAAATCTGTTAGGACTGGGCCCAAGGTTCCCTGCATTGGACACCTTTAAGTGAGGTTTTCAATTCAGCTTCCTAGTTGCAAAAAATCAGGAGCATTGCACTGTTTTTAGTTTTACTTTTTCCATAGTTTTCATTTTGACTTCTGTTTTTAGGGGATTTGCAGTGTTCCTATTTTCAAAGTTTTTTCTGCAACCATGAGTGACAAAACTATTTTTTGACATTTTTTTTCTTGCAATGAAAGCTGCCATCCATCCGAACTCTTTCTGTTTCAGCATCAGGTGCTTTAATAACACTTTCATGTAAAAAGGAGATCTGAACTTTCACTCCTTTGAGCAGCTCAGGCATCAGCTCATCTTGGGGAAACACCAATAAAGTATTGGGGACCCAAAAAGAAGAAAATGAACCTGCAGAAGTTAGAGGGCTATGCTGATTTAGGGAGGATGGGGGAGCTATTATGACATCTATATTTAAAGGTAATCTTCTTGAGACTGCTTAGAAGTTCTGCTCCGAAGGCATAATAGTCACTTGGCAACCCACTTGAGGGAGGTCAGCAAGGGAGTAGATGTATCCAGGTTAGTTGTCCTCCTAGGTTGTTCCTTACTTTTAAAAGGGTTACTCCCATGGGAATTTCAAAACAGGACTAATGTAGAAATTGTGAGGTTAAGCACTGGAGACATTAAGAGCCCAATTTGGAAAAGCATCCTCTACAGTGAGAAAAGTACCTTGCGAAGAACATCAATAATAAATATATAAATATAATAATATATAATTAATATAATATATTTATATATAATTACTATAATTAATATATTATTAATATTTAATATATGATTATATAATATATAATATATAAATATATAATACATATATAAAGAGGGAGTGTCACGAGGATGGAGCCAGGCTCTTCTCAGTGGCAAATGATAGGACAAGGGGAAATGGGTACAAACTGGAACAGAGGTTCCACTTAAACTTGAGAAGAAACTTCTTCTCAGTGAGGGTGACGGAACACTGGAACAGGCTGCCCAGGGGGGTTGTGGAGTCTCTTTCTCTGGAGTCATTCAAGACCCGCCTGGACACGTTCCTGTGTAACCTTATCTAGGTGTTCCTGCTCCGGCAGGGGGATTGGACTAGATGATCTTTTGAGGTCCCTTCCAATCTCTAACATACTGTGATACTATGTAATAATGTATGCAGAAATGAAAACACATCTGAAAAAGTGATTGATTGTTTACCTTGCCTGCAAAGAAGAATGTTTTTACTTCATTAGGGTATTATCAAGGTTTTTAATACCATATCCACTTCTTTCTATATTCATCTCTTCTTTTGAAATCTATGTTAAACCTCTTCCTTACAATTCCTGTGATTAGCATCTTTGTAGCAATCCCAGATGACAGGCTTCTAAAAGTGGCTTTGTATTTCTATACCCTCCCTGCAATTAAGTGTCTATCAGGCCTTCTATTCAGTTGTATATAACTGCTCTGCAGAAAATCTCTCTTTGCTTGAATAAAAAGCCATGTTTTGTTTAACCTTAGCAGAAGGATTGCATTTATGTCATGAAATAAAAGAATTTTTGGTCTTCATTAAATGCAATGAGCTGATCAAAAATCATCCACTGAAGAAAAAAAAAAAGGTACACATTCCTTAATGGCTGCAAGATGGTCTGCAACCAAGGCAGAGGGCAGTTCCAGTTCCTACTGGAGACCTGCTGGGAAAGGACACTCTTCTCCCTGACAGAGCATGAGAACCGAGAAGTCCTTGATCAGGGTAGGCGCTACTTAGGAACAACTTAAACATTGTTGTGTTATCAGCACTGTTCTCAGACTAAAGCCAAAACACAGCACTGCACCAGCTACTGGGAAGAAAATTAACCCTATCCCAGCCAAAACAGGACGGATAGGAAGAGCTCCACCAAATAACAGTCAATTCCATGAAAAGCTTTATTGAATTTGATATGGGGATTGTTAAGCATCACCAGGTACAAGTCATATTTCCTTATCCACAGTAAAGAAAAAAACACAAGTTTCAGTGAGGCTGCAGCTGCCCAGGCATGAGAACGTGAAACATGCTTTTTTTGGCTTCGATAGTGTCACCACAGGATGCAAATGTTTAATGGTGAGTGCAACTCCAAGTGAAACACCTTGTCCTAGGCACTTAACGATGTTTTCATCCTGTAGAGTCTAGATCAAAATTGGACTTTGTTCTGTAGCATGTGATTTTGCAATGTGGTTATTATTTTGTCACACATCAGTATGTGTGGAGTTGTCCTTGAAGTCCAGCTCATGGGCTCTGGGAATAATCTTAGTTACAAAAGTTTTGGTAGCTTTCTATATGAATTCAGATTTTAGAGTCGCTTGCTGCCAATTTGGCCTCTTACATCCATGGATAAGAATGGATAAGATGCTGTTTGAAGGATTATCGTGCACAGATGAACCTCTAGCCTTTTGCTCATTCATGTGCTTAGATACCAGCATCCCCATTTGAACATTTTTCTTTTAAAAAATATTGGGGGATATTTGATTCACTTGTAGTTATAAATGGTTACAAAGATGAAACGACACATATTTGACAGTGGTGAAAAGAAAATATACTTCAGAGTAAAGTGAGAAGGAAGACGGATAGGAGACAAAAAAGTGCCTTTTATCAGATGTTAAAGCTGACACGAGTGTGACTTCATATTTTGAGCTGAATCTACTGACTTGAAAGCTGTGCTCACTCTGATGTTTAATTTGTCATTATAGTAACTCAATAGACTGAAATGCTTAATTTTATGCTTTTATTTATATATCAAGGATGAAAATCAATGTTTTCATTTAGCTTCACACCCAGCCCAAAGATGAATCTACAAACTCAACAGTATTATGTGAGCAAGCAACTTAACCTCCTTGAAGACAGGTATATTTCAATCTCCGTTCAAAAAAGGCATCTCTGCTAGTTTTGTTGGTCAGAATAGTCTTTGTATGAAAAAAACCTTTAAATTATATTTGAGAATATGTAAGGTATCTCATATTAAAAGGTATGGTCTCATTTAGACCTTGCTCAAGGCTTGCTGATGCCGTTGAAAGTCCTTCTATGGAATTCACAGGGCTTTGGGCTAGTACATATAATTTCTTTTATTTAAGTTTTCATTTTCTGAAGAAAATAGTACAGTACATTTTATATAATACATTGTATGACACTCTCTGTAATAAAACAAGTGCAAAAAGTAAACAAAGGGTTTACATTTAATTGGAAGTGTTTTGTTTTGTTTCTTTTTACAGGTTACATTGAAGAAAGTGAGATAAATAATATTCACATCACAAGCAATTGCAAACCTTTTCTCAGTTACAACAGCTTGGCAGACGTCTTTCATGTTTGACATATCATTATACTGGAGTTTCAATTAGAAATACTGCTTGTAAAATATTTGAGATCACTGTTCTTACAATCCTAAGTTACTTTTGGCGTCACTCCATTAAATTAATGCATATATATTTATCCATTAATTTCAAAGCTTATTTTTAAAAATTAATGTAATATTGATACCTAATGTTTTCTTAATAATAGACCACTTCTTTCTCCCTCCACCATCCCCACTGTTTATCAGGAATGTTGGTCACAGTTAAGTATTAAGATAAAATCTACACATGGTTTATTTTTAAAAGTCCATGGCTGAGCATTTTTTTAATCATCAAGGAAACGACTATATGAGAATAGAACTCAGTAGCAGGATCCCAGATGTCAATATATGGTTTACCCTGTGGGACAATTTTATTGCTTCAGAGATTAAACCTGAAAAAATATAAGCACACAAAATTTTCTGACAAAAGTAAATTTATCGCAAATAAAGGTGTTTTATGCATTCTAGCATAATAGTAATCTTAGTTCTATTTCCAAAATGAAACATTATCCGCAAACATTTCTTCTGTTTATCTTTTAAGTTGTAGCAGCAGTTCTATGGAATCTGGTTTTGAATCACCTTCCTACCCTCCCTGGAATATTGCTTTTAGGGGGGCTTTGGCTAGTTTGTTGCAAAACTGTGCCGTGTTTTGCAGGAAAATAAGGTACTTATGAGAACAGGGGCTGGGCCCTGGGATACCCACCCCAGCATGGAGCAGGGCTAAGGTTCTCTGTCTCAGGAGCTTCAGCAGCTCCGGATCAGATTAAGAGCTGCATTATATATGAGAGCTGCAACTTTATCAAGAAAGTTTATTTCTCTGTTCTGCCCTGAGTGTTACAGGCCACTACACTAAAACTACGGTCACATCTAGGTGTTGTGCTAAATTTCTCTGCTAATGAATCTGAGAGTACCAGAGATTAACTAATGCTGATGTGCCCAGCATCACAATGCAACAAAAAGGAGGCCAGCTATGGTAATGGAAAATCTGTTAATCTATTGTATTTAGAGGAACATAGATTTCTTATTGCACAATAACAGTCAGAGGAGGGAAAAAGCCATCTCACGTACTTGATATTTTTGGAATCCTAGATTCTTCACTGCTGCTGCCATCCCCACTGTCACTGACTATTCTTATTTCTATGAGATAATCTTCTTCAAATGGTACCAGAAGTTCATCTGAAGTGTTGTTTGTCTCCAGTATATGCGTTTTGCTATGTCTGTTTTGTCTATACAAAATCTAAGTTAAAAAGGATTAGAAAGCAGGAGTTATTTAGTATATTTTTAGGTTTTTATGGATTTTTGGAAAGTTAAGAGTACCTTTTGTCATGTCCTAAACTTTCCAGAGCACTATCGGCATCCTGCAGAGGATTAAAATTAATTGAAAACATAGAAATATATTCTGCAGACTTTTGTGATGGAGATCACAGTGGACATTTACTCCAACTTTTGGGAGATCCTTTATCTGCTAGAATAAAATTATGAATCCCTATCCAAAACATTTATACTGTTCTATAAAAGTGCACCTTTAAACAAGATTTTAACCGGTAAGAATTTTTATACCCAGAACTCATCAGATGCCTTAGGAACTAAGGGTTTAGTGGTTTCAGTTTGGTTTTTGTTTTTCTGTTGTTTTTTGTTTGTTTGTTTTTAATTTTCCCTGGTTGTAGTGAGCATTTGTAGTCAAACAGACACTGATTTCTGTGTAAAATTACCACCAGTTAATGAAAACCTGGGATGTTGCATAGCAGTGTGTTTTTTAAAGTTTCAGGAAAGGACAGAAATCTGGCTACTAGCATCTAGGAAGCACATTTCTACAACTAAACATAATGGATCCAGAGCCTGCTTGCACATAGGTCTTTTTGCTAATGAATCACTGGACCAAGGTGCAGAGCAGCAGAGCAGCTTGGGCTGTCTAGACAGGGATCCTACAGACTATGAACAGCTTTTTGCCTCGAAGAAACCTTTTCTTTCTAGTACATCAATGACAGTGTTTGGCTGCTTTCCTTTGACAATCTTTTGACGTATTTATGCTAAGAAGAGCAACTGATGAGCAAAGCAGAAGGAGAAACAAGGATCATACAGTAAATGCCATAGCAAGTACATAAGAACTCTTTCCACACCAGAATGTTTTAAGTAAGTGTAGCCTAGAAGCAGGTAGTTTAGACACAAAGAAAAAAAGCTTAATTGTCTAGTCTTAACTTTCTTCCCAGTGTGTGGAGCTACTCAGACACATTCACTTGAGTGCAAAAGAATATGCAAGAAAGATTGCAAGCTGGAAGGCTTTGTGTCCTTTTCCACCCTTGATATAAATAACTCTGTGCAGACACTAAAAATCCCTAGCAACATGAGGATTTCGATCTTGAGGACCTTTCCTCCTCTAAGCACTCTCCACCTCCATTTGTATAGTCCTTCAGGAGTAAAAAAGTCTTGGCACAAGTCTTTTGGGGTTAGAGCCATTGCAAACAAATTTTGAACTTTTTTTTTTCCCCTTTAAAAATAGATTTGTGGGAGTGCTTTTACTTCATTCATGTTGAACTTTGCATACCTTCCTTCTCATTTTCAAAGGTACATTTGTGAATTTCCAGAGAGTGGGGACTTTTAAATGTGTCCTATTCCTGTCTTTAATGATTAAGAGACTGTGCCCTACTCCTTATATATGTGTGAATCTCCTTCCCCTAAAAGATGTGAATGCAAGAATCTTAGATGAGTGAGATTATAAGGGAAAAAGGGACAAGAGAGATCTAGTGATAGGGAGAGAAACATCCTGTCAGGATAGATGGGTCTTACTCTGATCAAACAGAGCCATTCTTCCAGTTTTGTAAATTTCAGCAAACCTTTAGAGTATATCCATGAGAGCCACTGTTTTCCAGGTAATATACAGTCACCTTTCAACAAGTGACTGTTTGTACCTCTATTATAGAAACCATGTCTGATGAATGAGATAAAGAAATTACTTACTTTGTAGCCTAGCACCTCTGATTCGTTCTCCATTGTTTTTACATGTTCCCAGTTCAAACAGATTTTGGAATTTGTCAGTTTCCAGGCAATGTTTGCCGGAGGTTGACGTGGTGCTTTAAAAAAGATGATGATAATCAGAAGATACAACTGAATATTAATTTACATCATGTAATTGAATGAGCTGCTGACACAGAAGCAGCAAATGCATGGCTGATTCAAATCTAAGAGTAAAAAATTATTTCCAGTCCATCATTGCTCCCACATTAGTCAGAATAAAGTTCTATTCATAGCACAAAACCACTTACTGTGAGAGTTCATTTTCAAAATTAGGAAAATCCTGACAGTGGCTGACAGCTCAAGTTATATTTGATGGATTTTGTGTACTGTCTTCCTATCTGTATTTTAGTGCACTAGAGAATGTTTTGCTATATGGATTTCAAAAAAAGGGAAAACTAAGAGCAAAATACAAAAGATAAGATTTTCATCAGCCATGAGGACAGGTTACAAAGAGCTACACATTAAAGTCTCCATGTGATCCATCATGAAACATTGTAGATTTTATAAATTCTCAGCACAATAGGCTGAGAGTAGCGTTTCAAAGACTTTTTATGACTAAGTGCCAGGACTTTGAAAATTTGCCTACAAGTGACTGAAATCGAATCCTGTGTGAACATGTGAAGCTGAAACTGTGCCTTTGAACTGTATCTTAGATTTAGAACAACACATTATCTCCTTCTCCATCATGCATCCTCCTAGACCCTGCCTGGGAGGACAGCACTGGGGATGTTAAAAGAAATAAGGACTTGAACAGAATTTAGAAAAAAGAGAGAGACTTGGAGGAACACATTGTAAATATCCCAGATTTGACTTTAAAATGCTTAACTTCCAGGATCCTTGTTTTCTCCTTACAGTTCCTATAAACTGATGATAAATGTAACTTGGGAGATACTGTTGATTTGGTAATACTCCACAATTTCTTTAATTTCCCATGGAGACAGAATAAATTGATAGTGCCTATTGTTTCATATCTGTCTGCTTCTTGACTGTGGAGAAGTTTAATCCATCCCACCAGTAGGGAAGTTAGTGGACTACCCAGGTGAATACAAGCAGATGTCCTCCCATGTGCCATACTGTCACTGCTGAAAAGAGATTAATTTTCTTTTTGAAGATATTTATACTTAATTAAACTGTAAATTAACTTAAATGTTGTTTGAAACCTCTTTGTTGCTTTCAGCAAATATTTTGTATAAGGAATTTGGTAACAAAAAACTTCACAACAGGCAATGGATGTCAAATTGACTGTGTACCCTGAAAAGTCTTGGAAGCACTCAAAAAGAGGTGAGTACTGCCCTATTCAAAGCTTTTTAGCATAGCAATCAAAACCATCTCAGTTCATAGTCTTTGGCTGAAAAACTACCATCAGATGAGTTTCAAGACAAATTAATTGGTTTTGCTATACAGCCAGGGACCAGAATAGAAGGTAATGTAGCATTTCCCTAAATCCGTAGCAATATCTGCATGCAAAACCACTGCAAAGAGTTCTTCAGATCTAACATTAGATAATTTTCTCAACTAATTTCTTGTAATGAACACTGTCAAGAATAATAGAAATCCCAAGTATATGCTTCAGTTTGTTAATTACGTTACTCTTGTGTTTTAGGTAACACTTATCTTTGTTGCTGCACTGAATTGAGCTTTATCCTTGCAAAATATTTCTAATATCTATATATGTTGATAAATATATTTTTAAGTAAAAAGCAAAAGCAAAGCAATTGCTGAAATCCATCATCTAAGTAAAGAAGCAGAAGAGCTGAGCTTCACAGCAGCTCCTGATGGAGCAATACGTTCATGGAAGGAGGACATAATTTCACCTTTCCTGAGTAGTTTAAACTTAAATGAGGATATGAACTTAGACCTTAAATTGATCTCAGATAAGTATGTTTCAATCAGAATTACACCTATTTGGCAGTAGGACCATTTTACTTCTGCTTAGTCTCTACAATAATGGCATGCACAGAACACTGCAGGAATCCTGGACAATGAGTAGGAAGACAGAGCTATTACACTGAAGCTAAAGCTCCATCTGTAGATGCACATTGTTTATATTCTCTTGACATATTATCTCTGCTGATATTGAAAGTGCTTGCATTTTTCAGAGGCTAGCTTAAAAATTTAATATATGTTTTTAAATATTAAAAGGGTTGTTTTGACTTTAATTTTTAAGTGACCCATTAGCACAATCCTGAATTTGACAGAAGATGAAGTCAATGTAAAACAAAAGCAAATTTATTCCTTATACAGCTCGTCTTTTGACTACCATGTCTTTAACTTGTCTTTCATACATATGCACATAGGAATTTAGAGAATAATTTACAGAGATAAGTCCATTTTCCATTAAGAAATTGCCTGTGAGAAAAGTCCTCTTTGAATCTTTAAGAAATACCTTCTCTGGCTTTATTTTGGTTGATGTTATTTACACTAAATAGTAACTTTAATTAGCAGCTTATTTTATAAGTTGGTTTCTGTCTTGCACTTTGAGAAATAGCATGGAACAGCACATAGACAAGAAGAAAATTGGTGAAAGCAGGAGAAATATTTCCCCTTTTGTATCTTTTCTGCAAAAGCTCTGATCAACTATATACTGGGGAACTATAGTCCAAGGAAAGTATAAAAACAATGGAGTGCTTAAACAGCAATGAGTCTGGGGGACTGTGGTACATAGCAGATTACCAAGATTTACTGCTTTATGATTATTTTGCTCTTGGTGAACATTTACTTCATAGGTGCAATCCTGCAGGGTGGTGCTCAGTGCTTCCTTGAAAGTGCTTCTCACAAACAGAATATCATATGATGTCTTTGCTTCCACAGTTCCAGACATGTATCCATATGTATCCATACATATGTATACCCCCTATATATACAAATACCCCCACCCCCCTTTGTATTTCACAGTCTAAAGCTCTCAAAAAAGCACTTTATTTGGACCATTCAGCCGTTTTCTTTAAAGAAAGAAACCCATATTCCCAATAGCCAAATCTGTTGTTTGACCCACGGAACATCTTTCTTTTATTGATTTTACATATCTTTTGAAATTTCCTGAAATCAAGTGACATGCTGTTGCAGTGCAAAAGGAAATCCTTCCTAATGGTTGCTATATTGTATGAACACAGACACTGGTGTTACCTAATTTCATAGGTGTACTGAATTATTTTAGCGTATAGAATAAGGTAAATGAAATAACCTGCTTTAAGTTGATGAGAATTTTAGCTTCCACTGAGACAGACCTGAAGCTAAATATTTATTAATGTCTTAAGTACCAGAGTCTGAGTAAACTTGACAGTGACCACAAAAGTATTATCAGGTAAGACTTAGAGAAGTTTCTTAGTCACAGATTTTGTTGCTTAATTTTATGAAGAGATTTGGGATACAATTTTCTTTGATATTGCAACATTTAGCAGAGATGGGTCATGGTAAGCTGAAATGTCACTATCACATTGGGGATTTGGCAACATTTATTGTACTAAATTGAATACTCACGTGACTTTTTAGTGGTGACATTTACCCGGGTGCTAGAGGGCCCAGTCCCTGCAGTGTTGTAAGCTCAAACCGTTGCAAAATAGACTGTGTTAGCTTTTAGTTCTGTGATATTTTTGGCTGTTACATTCCCCCTGACTCTGACTTTACCAGCTTTGCTTTCCTTGGGATCATCAGTCCAATATAAAACCTGAAAGGCAAGAACAAAGTACAGGCAATTCATTGCTTTCCATCAATTACAGATTTGGCTGGGAAGCAGACATGCTGGCAATGAAGATTTCAAGGAATTCAGGATTTTTTTAATGTTCAAATCTAGCAGGAAATAAAACCAAGTGCGAATATTTATAGGGAAGAAATAAAATTTCAGAGACTGAATACCAATTAAGGAAATAAATGAAATCCTTAACTTTATAGATATCTAAAAAGAAACCTTTGGTAAGGTGAGATATTTTAAAAGCTCATTTGGTTTTATGGTTTGAATGCATTTGAAGAAAATTTTAAAAGATACAAAGAAACATTAATCTCAGTCATCTAAGAGATCTTTTAATTATTTTGTGTCCTGCCTCTGGTTTTGATTCAGGGACTGCTATTTACACCTGATGTGCTTTTTACCTATGAGTAATTGATTTAACAAAGTTTGTGTATAGTACATGACTCCTATTACCTTCATTTATACATTTATAATTATAGGACAGAATTTGAAGTATTTCTGACTTGGTTTACTATTGGTTTATCTTATCTACAAAAAACCCTACTGTGTAACTAAAGTGCACAGGAATTACATCTGAGGTTACTTTGAAGTACCCTTGTTATTAATACAAAAATGTGCTCCATCTTTGTCTGCTGAAGGCACCTCTGGAATCAAGCAAGTGTCCTTTTTTAGTAGCCATCACACACGATTAATCTTGAAGTTTTACTGTACATCACAAAAAGTCCAGAGCTGCAGTCCTGGTCTGCAAATGTTTGTGAATATCTAAGGTGAAATGTTGCCAATAAGAGCCATGTGAAGAGCTCCAGTGTCTGTTGACTTGGAAGCAAGGGAGGAAGTACCAGGATGCAAATACGGCCATGAAAGGGATATCTGTAAGGTGTCAGACACCAGCACTGGCTCACCTCATAGCCCAGCACCCTGCCTGTGTGCCTGTTCCATGCAATGGGCTGCCAGACCTCCACCTCTGCCACTGAAATACTCAATGCAGAAACCCCCACTGGTGCTATTTGTGTGTCTGGGTGATGAGAGAAAACACAGCTAGTGGAACATTTGTGTTATGTCAGGAACTGTAGGAGAGTCAAGAAAAAAGGAAGAGATTCTGGGGGGAAGCAGCTCTCTGAGGCTCAGGAAGCCTGGTGTGAACTGCTAGCTTTACCACTCATTTATTATGGAACATCAGCAAAACCTGTTTTCGAAATTGGTCATTACCCATAAGCTGGGAAATATTTTCAGACTACTCAGCTACACTTCAGTAGACCCTCTGAAGGCTAGACTTTTGGATGTCTCCTGATTTTCCCAGCTTACTCAGTGGGAGCTTTCTGGGGACAAAAATGTTGAAACATGGTATATACATAAAGCAATTCTGAAAACCTGTGCCTTGCTTTTTTGTTTACATCCATTTTCCATCTTCTGTCATATGGCTTGAGCAGGCTGCTTAATATCCCTGTGAAGACCTGTCTGATCACACCTAGGACCTGCTGAATGCTACACAACCACCACTAATAAAAGTAACAAGCATTACCATCTTCTCCTGAGCAAATGGAGGTAAGAGTCCCTTCGCCTTCATTGTTGTAGACGCCAACTTTCACTTCAAAAGGAGAGAGAGGTTTAATGCTTTAATTCTTTTAAACATATTTTCTTGCTTCCGCTGAAGCCACCACTGCTTTTGTCCAGGTTGCTGAGCCAAGATGACAAAACATAACGATGTAGCCAAAATCTTCCCCATTGTGTAGATCTGAAACTGGCTATAGTGACAAGGCAGTCAGTCAATGAGCATTTGCAAGTATACACTGTTTTAACTGAATCTTCATTCCCTGACTATATTTTAGCAGTATTGATTTAGTTGACTGTGCCTTAGAGAAGATAATAATGTTTGCTCCATCAGTCAATGTAATATTGAAATAAAAATCAAAATAATAAATCTATTGAGGCAATCAATTTAGAAACAAAAAAGCTGATCAGCTCCATTAAAGTTATTCTCTTTCAGGCATGAAGTTTTCAAAATTAAAAGCATTTTACTCAGTACAGGTTGTAGCCGACTTTTTTTCTTTTTTTTCCCCAAGGGGTGTAGGAATGCTAATTTTAAATAAATGATTCTTAAAGAAAAAATAAGATTTGGCAAGGGAGCAAATGTATACACACAAGTGTGGTCAGCTGTAGAACTGCCTGCATATGAGTGCAGTACTTACATATTTTTTTTAATCTTAAGTGCATGAACATATTCTTATTTAAGTTTGTTTAGAATGGAACTGTTATCACAAGTCAACGTGGCAAAATTAATGTTTCTATTAATAAAATCTTATGTCAAGATATGTATTAATGACTCATACTAAACAGGCAATTACATCAACACTGTATCCAGCATGAAATTTTTTGTTTTCATGGGATAAAAGTATTTCTCTATTATCTTCTCAAAGCAAGGGAACATTTATGAAACAAGATCAGTAGTACATGGAGGAAGGAAGCATTTATTAAGGAAATTTCATTTATTTCAGATCCTTGCATCAGAGTGAGGTTCATGGAAAAGCAGATACGGAAAACAGTGCAGAAAGAGGGAGAAAAACACAGGGGCAGAAACACAGACCCTGTGATCCCTCCTGGCTCCAATCTCCTCTCCTGCAGTCATTCCTGGGAGCGAGGAGCACTGATGGTGTGAGATGATGGGAGAAGAAAAATATCAGGAAGTACATCAGAAGATTTCAGGGCACTTATTATTTTCCTCAGAAGTTCCTTCTAATAATAAGCCTGGCCTGCCGTAAGTAACAAAAGTGTCTTTCCTTAGCTGTTTCGCAAACGTTAATTCCCCAATATGCCCTCTTCTATCTCTTTTCCAACTGAGAGAGTTAAACTTGAGGTATGATGGTTCACTGGGGATTTATAAGAGTTCAGGCTACTTTCTAGAGCATTTAATTTGTTTTTGAGGCTTCTGTGACATCAGATTTAATCAAGATGTTTAGTGAGTTCATCACAGAAAGATAGAGAGCCGTGTTCAGTGTTGTTAGCTTGGCATAATTACTATTCCTTCTGTGTATTTTTCATGACACACTATGGAGTCCAACAGGGTAATTTGATTGAAATGTCTCAGGTTGTTTTCAATTTTCATGTTCTTCTGCCCCCAAAGAGTATATCAGTAGAGGAGAAAATGAAACAAAAGGGTGAAAGATACTATGGAGGACAACTTAGGTCAGTAAAAGTGAAGTTTCATTCTGGAGCATGGAGAGTGGCAAGCATTTGCAATAGTATTTATCTAGTGGGGATTTTTTCATTCTGCTTTTTGCTGGCACTTCCCTTCCTCCCCCAAAAGGCTAGTTAAATGGCATAGGTTTTTAGCATACAGGGGAACACAAGTAACTCACTCAGCTGATGAATAGCAATCACTTTTAGTTTAATTTAATTCCTTTTCCTTTCCTTCAATACATAAGCTTGGTTGTTACTTCGGGAAAATAAAGAATTCAAGGGAGAGAGACTGCTTTTCTTACTTAAGCTGAGTTTTTTTTTTTCTTTTTTCTTTTTTCTTTTTTTTCATGAAGAAATGTTTTCCATGACTTACAAAGGGAGCCCCATGGTTTTGGATGCCCTGTCCCAAATTAGGAACTGAAGAGAGGGCATCTATGCATCCTCTGAGACAGTTAGACCTGATAGTGAGATATGTGGCCAGGCTGCCTGGCCCCTGCCCTTCAGTCTGAGTGCTGCTAATGGCATGGAGTAGCTCCTACTTTAGTTATATACCCTCAGACCCAAGGGAGAGATTTAATTAGGTGAATCACATTAACTTCATGTATACTTTTCAGGGGTAATAAAAAAACAGAGGGGAGGAGATGTGTTTAGGGGAGTTTTTCCATAGGGTCTCAAGTTCTAAGTGCTTGCCCCATCCCTGCATGGGCTTTGCAAGAGGCTGCCTGCCTTCGTCAGGATGCCTTCAGGGAGGCTACTGGAAGGTCTCAAGTTCTAAGTGCTTGCCCCATCCCTGGCTGGTGAAGGGAAGCTCCTTCCTACAATGCTTACTTTCTGCTCTCTGAAATGACCTGTGCTCACCTATTGCAACTTATAGTATGGTATTAACTGGTCTAAAAATGTATATTCTCTCCTCTCACTGAAGTGCTGGAGAATTAAAGGGCTCATCTCCTTTACGCATAATAGGATATGTCTTGTCAGCACAGCGTTCCAGAATGGAAAACATGTAAACAAAAGTATGAAAAATGTTAATGCAGAAAATGGCCAAGCAGATTAGTGTGTTAAGCACCTCCTGTACAATGAAGATAAGAGGGTTATATAGACTTCTAAACATCTTTATAACATGCCACTTAAACTGTTTATTTTTATAAATTGTTCGCTATAACACAGAAAACTTGCTGTATATCTTGCAGGCTGTTTTCTCTCCAGATGCAGGATGAAATCCAGGCTCAGCCCAAGCCAATGACTGAAAGCCTCTGGATTTCAGGAGGGCTGTGATTTCACCCATGGACCCTTCCCCATTAGATGGCTTAGGTTAATTGAGCTAACAATTACCTCCCATGTGATCACCATCTCAGAACAGCTTCCTCCTCCTCCACTGATATTTGTTGGTGCCACAGCAGGAACTGGAAAAGAAAAGACATTGGTTCTTGCAACTACCCACAACTACTGCCATGGGTCTTGTCAACTGGATGCTTAGAGCTTTTCCAAGCTTACATGCAGCCATTCTGCCTTTCAACACATAGAACAGGTACTATACTGTATAACAGTACATTTTAAATGAACTGAAATGATGTTTACACATTTTCAAGTTTATAAGGCTGAAGCCACAGATGTATGTGATACATGAGTACCCTGGTTCAAAAATTAATTAAAAAAGCTACTAGCATCAAGTATTTGACATTATTATGCCTCATCAACTAATTGGCAAAATGATGTTCTATTAAGACTGTAGCTGCAACACTACTGATTTACTAATTATGCATTTGTTCAGTAAACATGTTGGAACAATATATTATTTTTTTTTTGTAATTGGCTGTATGCTTTTCCTAGGAAATTCAAAACTTGCAATTTGCTTTTCTCCGTCTCCAAGACTGTAAGTGTCCAGAAGTTCATTAATTAGAGCTTGAATTCCCCAGCATTGCCCCATGGCACAATGGGTACAAGGCTGAGGTCAGGCAATATGCTAGTGTCCCAGGCTGAAGGGGCCTTGTCACTCAAATGACTCTTGGTGGCAAGGCAAAGAAACTATCAGCATTTTTCTCCTGTTGCTTTATATTTCCATAAACATGCCCACCCCATTAGCCTATAAATAATTGACAATTTTGGGGAACTAAAGTGTGATATAATGGATAGAATTTAGCAGACCAGCCTTGTTCTAATGGTAAAGTTCACTGTAGATCTACTTGCAAGGATAATATGTTCCTTTTTAGCCGCTGAGGAAGTATAAACAGAGGGCAACTCTGGAACTGACTGAGCAGGAACCACCAATAAGAGGGCATTTATACTCTATTCCATCTCCAAATCTTTGGTACTATTTTTAGAAATTTCAAGATTGCTTTGTTGTTCCCTTCATTCAGCTCTCACTGTCTGAAAACTGGATGTGTCAAGACAGGGCTGAAGACAGGGTACAAATGGGTAGGGTGGTTTCATCTCAAGCTTGTTCAAAGATTTCACAAGTTTTACAACGTCTTCCTGTCCTTCCCCATTCAGCCACCCAGTGTTAGGCCAGCTGCAGGAGTGACAATAAAGGCAATAGCCCTTTCAGTTCATGGAAATTTATGTCAACTCACTACCACTTCTAGATCCTGGTACACATATAAGTCATCTTATTCCATCCTCTCTAGAATGTAGAAATTTCACAATAATTTTGTTGTGTAGTCATAAAAGTGAGTGGAAGTGCAAGCGGATTAGGCTATTTTTGAGAGTTCTGCATAAGTATTCCATTTTGTCATTTACAATCAGTCTCTTACACACATCAGAGATAAGAAATCTAAGATGGAAAAGAACTGTGTTAAAGGGGGGAAAAAAATGCCAAAACAGACTTTCAATCTAGTGTTTCACTGTTTCATGAACCAGCTGATGCTCAATTAGTTCATGTATTAAATGTGTTTCGTACTTACTACATTTGCATTGGGAAAAAAACTGTACTACTGCTCAGCAGAGCCTCAACTGGGTCATAGTTGAGAAACAGATGAAAGTTTACAGCTGAGTGCACTAACAGAGGCTCAATTAATTCTCAGCTCCACTAATGAAATGAACGGTGTCTCATTTGCATCCACAAATCTACTAATGCTCAGATTTCAGCTGGCAAAATAGCTATTATAACAGCAAAGTTCAAATTCACTCTTTCATGGCCAGACTTTTGCTATCCACACTATCACACTGGTTTCAGATCCCTAGTCTGATTAAAACAACAACCAAAGAAAAGATAAATTGCTTCTTCTGCCACTGCAGAACGATGTTTTGAGACAGAATGATTTAGAGCAGTGAAGGGGTTAAGCAACTAAAAGCTGGAGTCTTTCTATTCCTTCTGTTAAGCTTCAGACAGTGCTACACTTGTGCTATTGCTATGATAAATAATGCTAATTATATTGCTTCCTTCTCTTTCTAGCTCTAGTTTTGTGAATCCCTCTAATAATAATTTTTAATAAAACCAAAACCAAACCAAACCACCCCACCTTAAAAGATGAAAGCTTTTACTGACTATATAGGTGGGTTTGAACATCACTTTGCAAAGCCCTATGGTGCCAACAGCAAGAAGGACCTTCTCAAGAATAATTTTGACTTCATGATCAATCATGAAGAGGAGAACATATATCTGTGATACTCCGGTGGGAAATTTAGAAAATCTGGACCCTTCCTGTCTCCAGCTTTTCTTTAGCCTTCCTTGCATGTGAATGTTTCCTAGTGTTTTCCTCCGGGAGGAAGGAGTAATTTACCACTCAGACATGCATCCCACAGACACCCAGCCCCAGGCAGGATCAGTGCATCTTTCCATACTAGAGTCTCTCAAGCTCTTCCCTTGGGAGCGACCTGCAATCTGCTTTACTACCACACTGGCCAGGCAGTTCTGACTGTTGATACGATTCATTTGATGACTCTCTGCACCTGGAAAACTGACAAAAATCTATTAAGATTGGTGTTCCAATAATCAAATAGTTTTTTCTGGCATCAGTACTAAGTATAAGTTTTTGCTTCAACAACAGGAAAGAGAACTTGTTAAACTTAAATCAACTGATTTAATACATTGTGAAGTAATTCTGCCTTGGGACAAATATTGTAGGCATTATGAGAAACAAATGGATCCCCCTTTCTAAGGATATATGTATTTGTACTGTATAATGTACATACTGTATTTTGAGTTCTGACTTGAAATGCAGCTTGCCAAATTTCAGAGCTTGGCAATTGAGATAAACAGAGAAGAGAAAGTGGATTGTAAAAGCTGCTTCCATTTTTCTGCTTTCCATCCTGTAAGTACTGATTTTATAGGTAGGAGAGAGTTGATAAGCAGGGGGCTGGGAGAAACATAAAACAAACCAAAGGTTTAGATTTCAAATAAATTGTACCAAACTGAGTAGGTCAAAGGACTGACAGTGTCGGTCATCCAAGAATGAGCCTTCTTCCTATGAGGTTCCAAGTCCCAGAGATAGATGTGTAAAGGTTAGACAGACAGATAGTAAGGATCCTGCCCTGGAGTCAGTGGAAACTATTAGTTTCAGTAGGCTTTGGATGCTGTAATTTATTTCCTCCAGTTAAAACCAATATCCTGTCCCTACTCATGCTGAGGTATCAAACATCCTCTGCAGCAAAGTTTACATGCTTGTGCTAAGATATACCAGAGAGCTGGCTTTATAATATTTTTATATAAGTGCCCTATCAGGGTATAAAAGCAATAAAATGTGTTCAGGCATGTGGATTACATGTATTTTGGGACATAATGAAGGGACGAAGCTCGGGACAGCTCCAGCCTTTATTCTTATCCCAAAAGATCTTCAAACCAGAGAGCAAAGTGGGTGGTACCTCAATCATGTCCAAGCATCTTTTGCATTGGAAGTGCAGGTCTGCTGTCATGAAGCCATACCAGCCGCAGACTAAAATGCCAGACAGATATGTAAGTAACCCTGTACAAGTGAATGGCTCTGCTGCAGTGAAATTCTCACACCCTGGAGGAGCCAATGTGTCTGCATGGAAAAAACTGGCAGAAACTGAGGACGTACCTGCTGCTTTAGTTTTCAGTAGAGCTGATGGTCTGCTTGGCTCCCCAATTCCAACACTGTTGCTGGCAACCACACAAAACTCATATTCAACCCAACGGCTTAATTCAGCCACTGTTGCCTTGTGAGTCCTACCGCTAATGACTTCAGGAACTAAAGGCAAAATAAACATGTCAGTGACAATGTATTTTTTAAATAATTAATGGTATATGGAAATTAATGTTATATATATAAAAAAGAAAACAACTCTCAAATTGCTCACCTGTTGAAACCACCTGCCATCCAACTGAGAAAGGAGTCCTTGTCTGAACACTGTAGATCTGGACTGGACTATTATTATCTATTCCAGACTTCCAGGATAACACAGCAGTAGTGCTAGAAATATGTTCAACTTTAACATCTTCTGGTGGACCTGGGGGGCCTAATACGATTAGCATTTTAAGATGAAGAGATTTGCGGTTGGATTGTGTTGGGCAATTCTTACTTTCTCAAGTCAGTGAAACTATTAATGAAGCTGCAATTTCATAACAGCAGCACAATCTCTAAATGATGGCTTCATGCCTGTGTTACATTTTTCTAATTAATGAGGGGTTTTGAGTCAGGAAAATTAATGTCTTTAGGTTACTAATATGAAAACTACAAACAAGGGAATGATTTCTTTTTTTTTTGTTTGACAAAGAAAGTTACCCAATGTGTCTTTTGTTGAGCCATCCAATGTTTTCAGAATTCCTGTTGCATCTAATCAAGACTGAGATTTATAAAGAATGCAAGGTGGGACACTATGTGGATTTCTGATTTCTGCTAGGATTCAGGGGATCTGCTTCCATCACAGCATTTCTCTTGCTGCTGGCAGTGAAAAGATTAGTTAGTTGGCCATAGACAATTTTTCATATCATCTCCAAATAGTGGAAAGGAAGCAAACCTCTTGGTTTTGGTTTTGGGTTTGGTTTTTTTTTTGAGCCTGCACAGTGACCCAGACTTGATCAGTAAGGAGCAACAGAAAGCAGTCTGCTGAAAGTAGAGGAGTTCCCTATGCCCTGCTGTCGTGGTTTAACACAACCAAATAGCTTGTGCACTCACTCGCAGTGAGTGGTGCCAGGCTGGAAGCAATCGAGGCCCACGTTAGTTCCCCCCCTCCCCTTCCCAGCTCCCAGAGGGATGGGGAGGAGAATCAAAAGAATGCAACTCCCACGGGCTGAGATAAGAACTGTCTAGCAACCAATGTACAACACAAATCACCACCGCTACCACCACTAACAACAGTGATAAGAGATAATAGCAAGGGAAAAGAGTACAATACCACCCGTCGAACCACGAGTCCGAGCCGGCCGACCCCCTGTCCTTCCAGGTAACTCCCAGTTACATCCTGAGCATGACGTGCTGTGGTATGGAATACCTCTTTGGTCAGTTTGGGTCAGGTGTCCTGTCTCTGCTTCCTCCCGGCTTCCCCTCCTCCCTGGCAGAGCATGAGGCTCACAAAGTCCTTGGCCAAACCAAAACATCATTTTTATCAGCTTTGTTCCCAGCCCGAAAGTCAAAACACAGCACTGCACCAGCTACCAAGAAAGAGAAAAAATGACTGCTACTGCTAAACCCAGGACATTATCCACCCCTTATTCCATACCATTCACGTCATGCTCAGATCCCACATTTTCAATATACCATCACTCTTATCTAAGTGCACTCTCATCGTAGTGCATGGGCCAGTCCCTATAAAGCTGCTGAGTCCATCTGGTCCATGATGCCAGGCTCCATCTCTTGTAACAGTCTTTCAGAGCAGGAGAGACTGTGTGCAGTGTTCACACTTGTGAATAACCTGGGCAATAGTGTCCATTGCTAAGTCCACCCCTCGATCATGAGTCCATCTCTATGTTGCATCTCTGCTCTGATGGCCTTAAGGGTCATGGGCCCACCAGGCTCAAAATAATTCACTGTCCTTCCATCTCCAATGCTTCCAAAGCACTGGAGGGGCCCAGTGGACTAGATACTTGCCCATACTGTCCCACATGCCCTGCCACTCATGACTCTCCAGCCTTGGAGAAAACCTCTTGGTCCTCCCATATTGTTGTCTAACCCCAGACAAGACCCAAACCCGACTCTGCTTAACTTTTGAGATCAGACAAAATGGCGGTGGGCAAAACACACTCTGTGCGTGCCAACATGCTGATCCCCATCACAACCAGCAGGCAGGTCCCAAGGATACCCAAAGGCCATCCAAAACCTTCAGAACTCTCAAACGATGCTGTTGTACTTGTCCCTGGGGCTGGTGTAGCTGCTGTGCTTGCCGGCTCTCCCACCACCAGCTTCTCTTTTTCTGAGTCCAGCTCTTCCTCCTCTGCCTTGCTGGGAAATGCTGCGGGGTCTCCTGCATCCTCCTGGGGCTCGGCGGGCGGCTTCTGGGGAATGCTCTCGGCCGTCGCGGGGCTGGGCTCGGCCGCGGGGCTCGGCTCCTCTGCGGCAGCCTCCTCCTCCCGCTCCTCGACCGCCCCGACCTCCTCCACCGGCAGCCACTCCCTGCCAGCCTCCGGTCCCGCTGCTGCTTGGTCCCCGGGGCCACTCTCCCGGGGCCGCTCCCCCTCAGCTTCCCAGAGCCTCACGCAGACGGAGGCGAGGGCGAGGGCCAGGACGGTGAGGAGCAGCCGGATGGCCAGGGACCAGTCCACGGCCACGTCCGTCCCGCCCTGCTGCTGGAGCCCGCCCGTATTACAAGTCATTGCCATAAAGTACAGTGAGACAAGAACCTTAGCCCAAGCCCCACACTTGATAAACACTAACACAGCAAATACCGGCTCTAAGTAAGTTACAACATTCTGAAGCTGTGAGATCAAGAGGAACAACTCTGAGAGCCAATAAATCAGCATTGTGACGAGTGACTATTAATCCGGTCAGATCTGTCGTTATCTCAACCCCTTCGTGCCCCACGTTGGGCGCCAAAAAGAACTGTCGTGGTTTAAACAAACCAAACAGCTTGTGCACTCACTCCCACTGAGTGGTGCCAGGCTGGAAGCAATCGAGGCCCACGTTAGTTCCCCACCCCCTTCCCCCGGGGCTGCCCCCCCCCCCCCCCTTCCCCGCTCCCAGAGGGATGGGGAGGAGAATCAAAAGAATGCAACTCCCACAGGCTGAGATAAGAACCGTCTAGCAACCAATGTACAACACAAATCACCACCGCTACCACCACTAACAACAGTGATAAGAGATAATAGCAAGGGAAAAGAGTACAATACCACCCGCCGAACCATGAGTCCGACCCGGCCGACCCCCTGTCCTTCCAGGTAACTCCCAGTTACATCCTGAGCATGACGTGCTGTGGTATGGAATACCTCTTTGGTCAGTTTGGGTCAGGTGTCCTGTCTGCTTCCTCCCGGCTTCCCTCCTCCCTGGCAGAGCATGAGGCTCACAAAGTCCTTGGCCAAACCAAAACATCATTTTTATCAACTTTGTTCCCAGGCCGAAAGTCAAAACACAGCACTGCACCAGCTACCAAGAAGGAGATAAATGACTGCCACTGCTAAACCCAGGACACCTGCCATATTGACCTGTGTGACCAGAAAAGTTTGCCTTTGGAAGATGCCAAGGAAGAATTGCACAGATCCCGCTGGATTAGCTGCACATTAGGATCATGTTGGCTACAGTCTCAGTTCAATTCTGGGGCCAAAAGTACAAGACGTATAGCATTTCACTTTTGAAATGTTGAACTGATATCCTAGAAATCATTTAAACAACAGCTGATGATAAGAATTTCTAATTCCTCCAGAAGATATACGTGTTTAGATTTAATAGACATACCTCTTACAATTATATCTACTATTGCAGATTGACTGTCTAAAGTTGTTTGTACCATGCACACATATTTCCCAGAATGATGTAGCTGAATATTTCTTATTATCAGATCCCCCACAGATTCCTGGAAATACAAGGAAAGTAAACTAATCACTCACAATACAGTTTCCGTACTGGACATTTTTATAAATTGCTCCATATTTATAAAGAAATCAGCTTTTAAATTAAAATATTCATAGCTATCATCAGTTTCTTTCATGTGGACATTTTTATTATGGCTTCACAAATAACTCAAGTGCCTTTATGAAATTTAAGAAAGAAAAATAAATAGCTGCAGCCCTTGTAAAGAAGCAGTGATTCACCATGAATATAAATAGTGATGGAAGAATTATGATAAATATTTGTGTCATCTAAAGACTGTGGCAAATAGTTTCATTAAGTACTAAGGAGTTTAAGAAACCTACTTCTCCAATTCTTTCAAAATGATGTATTCGTCTATTAAAATCAATTCTACTGCCATTGAATGACCATATGAACACCACATCGACAGAGGGGTCATGAGACACCTGGCATGTGAGGACTATGCTTTCTCTAACTGTTACATCCATATTAGAAGGTGGAATAGTGATTACAGTTCTTTCTGTAGAGAAAAAAAAATATTCAAGTGCATATGAAAATAGTAGATCTTGAATGAGTTTTCTACCATTTGTGAAATTATTTAAAATTGGCCAAAATGTTCCATATTAAACAAAATTATCTCTAATACGGTGATGATTTCAGAACACTTTCCTGTGTGTAGCCTATTACTTTTGCAGTGTCAATGCAATGAGCACAGTGTGCCTCTGAGAGCAAGCAGATGTCAGAAGCAACCTGCTAAATTAGTCATATGTTACTTTGTAAAGCCTGTAGTCGATAGGTATGATTTCAGCTGAAAAAGTGCAGACTTCATTACTAAGACTGTTAAAAGTATGTCCACGGTTCTTCAAACTTGAAAATTGCTCCTTACAGGAAACTGCAAGCAACAGCAAAATCGCTGCTGATCTCTGCTTACTTTATACATTGAGATCCTTAATCTATATTAATGTTAGTGGTAGTTTCCCGCACAATGCTGTTTACGTTACAGCTTCAGAGAAGATAGCTTCACAGACAGAAAAACTGTTTATGTAATCTCATTTAACCCCTTACACTGAGAAACAAATTTTCAACTCTTATTAAGGGAAGTAGTAGCTCCCTGAAGGGGAAAGAAATAGGTTTATATGGCTTCACTTTTCTTGAAATGACTGGCAGACAGATTAGAGAAAACAACCACTTTGTTGTAAGCAATTCCCTTGAATAAAGCTTTTGTGCATGAAAGTGTTATAAAATAGTGAGAATTTAGACACATCTATAAAATGAGAGTAGAATCTTTTCAAGAATATTAATATGTTCTGAAAATAATGAGAGAGGACAAGAAGAAAATTTGCATGAACTGTATTAGCTCAGCATTCCGGCTTAACCCTGTATTAGAGTGTACTTGAAAATGCAGGATTCTCATTTTACCAAGGCCTTGGTTCCAAAGGAATGATGCATGATAAGGCATCCAACCTCTTACCTTCAAATACATCTTCATTCACACTGTCACCATCATTGCAGTAACTGATTAATATGTAGGTACAGATAGGCAATACGAACTGAAACCTGAAAGGCATCTTTCCAGCATCTGAGCTGCATTTGGTGAATGACTGTTATGGTACTGGTGGTACAAGGTGGAACATTGCATTTTCTCCTAACTTTTTAAAATAAAACTGGATCTCGCTGGTTTCAGTGGTACACTTTCTGTAGGCATCAAATAACATTTTGCAATTAAAACAAAGAAAACACTTGTCTGTTTTTTTTGGTGTTTTTTTATAAACAAATTCAGTGTTTTTTTTCTGGGTATCATTAAGTATCAGAAGTTCTCATTGAGTTAGAGCTGAGGCATGGAACATGCTTTCTCAGATTTCTCTGTGTACTCTTTTCTTCACAGCCATGTATAGCTATCATTGTGGCAGCTCCAGAGTCAAAGACTGCAAAAATGTGAAGGCCTCAGATGACTGTCTTAAAGATACTTGATCATTAGGTTAGAGAAATCTGTTCCTTTCTCTGGAAGCAGTGTGTCAGATGCAATAAATTCCAGATGATTCAAGGGCCAAATTCTTTTTTTGGCACAACTCCACTGATTTCAGCAAACACTGTCAAAGAACTCGGCTCCATAAATCTCAAATGAAGTAATTCCATTGTGAAATACAGGTAACTTTTATAGAATAGCGTTTAAAACTACAGAGAACCTCCCGGCTCAGTATTCGGATGAGTAAACAGTGGTTAGAGGGTTCAGCTTCTCAGCCTTCTCAGATAGACCCCACAGCCTGATATGATCTCCTTGCTGCCAGGCATAAACGGCTGCCGGTATTTTGTCTTGCTTAAAGCTGATTTGGGTGTATCTGTTTTGCATTGCTCTGATGACAGCCCTTTGAATTGGGTATTCTCCTAAAACTTCAAATACAGGCACATATACCAGGGATGAAATTCACTTTTTCTGCTTTAGTTCATACAATATCAATATCAATGAAACTTTCTGCTACTACTGAATTGGCCATGTCTCAAGTTCTCCCTGTCCTTTAAATTTCTCAGTAAAATATCTACCCTTCATAAGATCCACATCACCTCTACTGCCGCAAGACTTAATGTCACCTAATTTTGTAACTCCTGCTTCTCTGTACTGGATGGTTGATCACCAGGATCAGTGCATTTTGACTCTTCTACAATACAGTGTGCACAATTACAGCATTCAATAAATAAGTAAAATACTACAAATAAAATCAATTTATTTCTATGGAAAGTCAAAATAAGACTAAGCAAGAATGGTACAAACAGTATTGCATGGAATTTGTAATCAGATACAATGGTTACATTCAAAAATCCATAGAATACAAATAGGACTTAGCCTTTGCAAAATCTTTAAGCCTCCACCAAAGCCAGCTGTCAAGGGATAATTGGTTTAAACTTAAACAGGGGAAGTTCAGGTTAGATATAAGGAAGAAGTTCTTTACTGTGAGGGTGGTGAGGCACTGGAACAGGTTGCCCAAAGAAGTGGTCAGTGCTCCATCCCTGGCCCTTGAACACAAGGCCTGGTTGGACAGAGCCTTGGACAACATTGTCGGGGGTGAGGTGTCATTCAGGGAAGTGGAACTAGGTGATGTTAAGGTCCTTTCCAACCCAAACCGTTCTATGATTCTATGTTTTTTTTTTGTACAGGAAGGGACCATTTGCTCCAGCTGGCTGTTATAAAACTGGCTGGGAATATTTTGAAACTTTTCTTCATGAGGACGTTCCATTAACAATACGATTGCCTCATTAGGTCTTTCATGTAGTTTCCTGTGTCATTTTTTGATCACACATGCAAAAAGATCAGAAATGAGACATCTGCAATCCTGTTAGAAGAGGTTGTTGGAAGGAATGAAAATTCTAGAGATCATTTATGTGTTAAATCCTATTGAATGCCTCCTTAGGGAAAAGATAAATATTTGGGGAAAAAACATGCATTCTGTGGAACCCTCTAGTGAACTGGCATTTTTGAATATCAGAACATGAAGGTTTCTTCTTGTAACCCAAGAAATCCAAAATCTATATGCCATTAGTATTCTGTCTACTTAATTATTGGCATGAACCTATCTGCCTTCACCAAATAAATATTGAAAACTGTCCTTTAGTGAATTATACTTGGTTTGTGTGTGAGTTGTTTGGGGTTTTTTAGTATTATTAGCAAAAAATCCATTTTATTATGGTTTTATTATCCTTTTCTATTTGTTGTTCTAGCCTGTTCATATCCAGTGATAACACTGACATAGAGTGGTTCACTTGTGCAATATTTTCTGCTTCTTTTATGGGGTTGTCTTTAAGACTTCCATGTCAAATACTTTTAAAAGCTTTTAAAAGCTCTTGGTTCTACATTATCCATCTATCTTGCTTAGCAACTGCAGACATGTAATACATGGCAAATCCTATTCCAGAGGAGAAAATAGATAAGGTGTTGTGAGTGCTGGAGGTATAATAAAGACTTCTCACACAAAGAATAAACAATTCAATGAGCAGCAATAAACTTAATTTGCACATTAGATATGCTTTTCCAAGTTCTGACATTTCAGTTGAAAATAATGCTGAAGCAATGAGGCCTATAATTGAACAGCCAAAACTTCTCCAGAGGGGAAACAAAAACAAATGTTCCCTGCAAACAAGATCATTTTTATACCATGTTGTTACTCAGTGTTTTAATAAACTTCATAAATGCCAAACAAAATATTTTTTCATGTTTTAATGCAATTTTCCCATATTGCTCCATTAGGATGCATGTATGTGATATGTGAAATGGTATACAACCTTAATGAAGTCAGAGCTGCCTAAACCCTAAACCGCTTGGTTTATTCATTGCTAGCTGTGCTGTAATATCATCTCAGATTACACGTTGCACTGCATCAATGCTAATTGCTCTTTCAGACTATCAGTATGAAAAAGACTTTTGCCAGATGCAGTAGGTTAGGAAGGAGGTCATGCCTGTGGGCTACAGCAACCATTCTGAAGTCAGTGAAAAGAAGAATATTAAGAAAAAAGAGATAGTTACAAATTACCTTTAATAATGTGCTCTTCTTGTAACTACAGACATTATTATTATTAGCTGTTTTGCAAAACCGATAAATATGCTTACCAGAAGCTCAGAAGTTCCACTTCTTGGCTTGTTCTTCTCACTTAAAATCAACAAATTCAAATACTTTTATAAGCAGATGTCTGTACTGAAAAGATCATGTGGGACCAAATAGAAAAAAACATAGTAAGCAGGCCTCAGTGATCAAAGATCAGATCATAGTCATTTCATATGCTGGTCATAGGAATTTCTATACAAAAAATGATCCCTTTTCATGTCCTCCAGCTCTGGAGTAATCTACCTGAGCAATAAGTTTCTACAAATTCTTCTTACTCATGGAGATAGACCATCCATCAGCACAGCAAAAATTTGAAGCCAAGGATTACTTTGCACATAATGTACTCTAACATGTTCCACAATGTATTTAAGAGTGTTTCAAAGAAGGGTGAAAAATACTGCAGGAAAGACACTGCCCTGCTGAACATCACTGGACTGGAACCAGAGCCAGAGTGTGCCATCACACCACAAGCTCAAACCAAGCACAGACAAAGCTGCAGCTTTGGATGGAAAGAGGATTACAGCAGATGTGACCATTTAAATGTGATGGGCCTCCTAACCCATAGCTTGATTTTCTGGATGTTTAAACTGATAACTGCAGGATGGCTGTTAGGGAAGTTATTTATACATTTCCAGCTAAAGCATCACATCTCCAAATAAAATTCCTCGCCTCACCAAGGTGGTCTGAAAAACTCACTTGAGTTGAACTTCCCTGTGCCTCCCAGTTTTCTCAGCCTTGACTTTTACAAATCCAGTCCAGCTGGAGAAGATTTGTGACCAGTGAGGGTATGCAAGAAGGATAGAGAGGGGAAAGGACAGAAGAAGGTAGCTTGGCTTTCCAGTCCTAAGACTTTTTTCTGGTTTATATGGGAGTGCTACAAAATGTGACTGGTAGACAATTACATGCATTTAGAGCCTTAAGCAAAACCAAGAGGAGAAAAAAAAAGGAAAAATAGATGAAGAAAACATGACTGGATTGGAGCTGGAAGGGTTGTGCAGCCAGGCCAGTCCTTGCTGACATCCATATAAAGTTTGGGAAACATCATGGGTAACTATGTAGTCTCACTTTGGCACATCTCATCAGATTCCGTCAGTCATTTTGTCTTATAGGACATAGCATTTGGCTTCTTGCGATGAACTTGATGGGACAAGTTCATAGTAACGACTCTCAAAGAGGCAAGTTACTTTCTTTTTAAGGAAACAATTAAAATTTTATCTCATATAGATAATAGAAAAGAAAATAAAGGTAATGTGAGAAGGCGATGTTCCTCATTCCCCCTTCAGAAAAAACCTGTCTAGCTACATTAACCTGTAGTTAACAGTTGAAATGGTTTAATTGAACCAAAACCATAAGAAAAGATAAGCAAAAAGTCACATGTTTACAGATAAAGGGGAGTCCTACGAAATGAGGTACCTTAGTACTAGCATCCAGGAAAACAAACTAGTCTGAAAGTGTAGAAGATACCCTAACAGAACCCTTGTTTCATTATTAATGCAGCAATATGACTGGAGGAGTGCTGTGGAAGATGGCCATTTAAATATGAAGAATTAAAAGCCCTGAAAGGGGCCAAGGAAGAGGTTTTGCTTAGCTCTGATTTGTTTTGGAGTTATTTACCAAAGTAGTGTACAGCAGATGGGGTGCAAGGAAGGAGTGGGTGGCTTCAGGATCTGCAGGAATGCAACTTGTGCAACATGTCCTATGCTAAAACCCACCTGGTTTTCAGATTACTTCATAACTTCTTATTTCTTTTTGGCACCCCAGCTTTAAAGTCTCTTGTGTAGTCTCAGATGTGATATAAATGGTAAATGAGCTGAATAATCTTATCCAAGCACACTGCATAGGGTACGCTGAAGCCCCGCACTGCCTCAGTGTCATATCAAACGCTGGCTCTGCATCTGTTCAGCCCATACCTGCAATGTCTAGACAGTACTGCGGTGAAAATATCGTTATTAATGTTACCTCCTGTTTCTGTGGGAGACCTCCCTGATAAACAAATTGATCATCGGAATGGTGTGGTCGTGAGGTTTTCTTTGCTGCAGGCAGTGGTGAGTTCAGTTTCAGCTTTAAACTGCAAGCAGAAACCTGTCAATACTAGCACCGACTGGCACAGACTTGGGCATCCTAATGAAAAAAGGCATTTACCTTTTAATATTCATAAAGCACAAAAATAAAAGCCCAAAACCTAAAGTACCTTTCACAATCAGGTTCCCTGAATTTCTGGCGACTCCAAACTGATTTGTTGCTATACAGGTGTACACCCCAGCATCTGATTTGGTGACATTATAGAGCCTGAGACTGCTGTCCTCTAGTAAGATGACCCTGGGGAACAAAATAAAAAAGAAGAAAAAATACTTGTATTACAGGAACTATAATAGAAATGCAATTCTATTTTTAATATTTAAATTCTTCTATTATACTTTTTCTCTTCTACAGCAAGCTGAATATGTATCAACCAATTTTCACCTCTGCTTATTATTGGTTTCTATATTAGGAATGTTATATTGACATACTGGAGCTGACTGTTAACCTGTCTAGCTGACTTTCTTGAAGCAAAATTTGGAGTCTGAAGAGAAAGGAAGAAGACCCAAGTTGTTACCTAACTGCGCTATATTTCACCATGGGTTGGGTTTTTTATTTCAAATCTCAGTGCTCCCATGCCATACTAATATTGTGTCTGAGCCCAGCCGCTTCTCCAATTTTGTCAGGGTTATTAAAAGATATTAGCAGACTAGCTGAGGTGCTGAAATACCATCTCACAAGCCAAGAAGCCAAATCAAATACATCGCTGTCTCACAGGGCCCTCAAATCACCTTATTAGTCACTATGTTGTTTACACCAATTTGCAGAGTATTGGGTAAATTGCATTTAATGGTAATTTCAGGACCACTCCTGGGTTTTAAGGACAAAATTAATTTATAAGCTTGTTCGTATGCTTCTTCATGTCAATGAGATACTTTGGGGTGTAAATCAGTATGTAGTTCAGTTTCCCTTAGGTAAGCAGTTCAGGGTTTGGGGATTTTTATCACAAATATACAGAACACATATATAACAAAGGTAGGGAATTTAAAACTGAAAGCTGAATTGGGTAAATGATGAAGTTTATGATAGAAAATAGTGTTTCATTAATTTTGTGTCAGTTCTTCCATCCACCTGGTGCTCCTGTTAGATGTTGAAGTTCTTGACCAAATTTTTCTGAGTATAGTAAGACAGTGGGCTGAAAGACATGAAGCTCTTGGAAGATTCATGAAAGTGGGATCAGGGTCTCTCTGTACAGACCCTCTTGCCAGTTAGGCCACTGCATGAGCACACTCCTTTGTAAGGCATCAGAGAATCTGCACTCAAATGAGAAGAGCTGCACTCAGATGTCATACTTTCTTACATCTGACAATATACAGCTGAAAGTCACAAATTCACAGGAAACCAGGCTTCATTCATTCCAGTGCTCACATAAGCACTGCATTATTTTTTTATAGTCCTCTTTTAATTGACATTTAAATCTAATACAAGAATCCTTTCATAAAGAGAAAATATCTAATTCATGCATCACATCTTGGGTATTTAATATTTATCACTAACAACATAAGATTGGATGATGTAATGAATTATTAAAGGAAATGAACAATAACAAGAGCAGAAGTTGAAGCTGGCAGTAATATCATAGCCATTAAACACACAAAAACCATCATAGTGTCTTGCTGCATTCCACTCTGGTATTTATATGCTTGTAGCTATATGTGTAACACACATTAGATCTTGTTCTGCTTCCCGTTATGTGCTCCCAGCCTCTCAAACGATGAAGAGAAGCTAGACTTGGATTTCTGGGGGTCTTCTCACGTCCCCCTAGTTTCATGTCTCCAGCTCTTGTCTGACCTTCCTTACCCTGACAAAAGGTACTGCCCCTGAGCAGGGCAGGGGTGGATTTAGGAAAAAGAAAAACTGAGACATCCTTGTGTTGCTGGGCACTCTGTCACTGGGGTGTAGAGCTGAGAGGGGAGGGGATTTAGGCTTGAATGAAAAATCTTTGTTTCCTTGGCAATAAACACCAGGTACTGCAGCAGTTGTTTGCATGCAATTTGTTATATGATGAGAAAAAATGTTCAGGTTTAATAATCCATCATATATCCATATTAAACTGGAGAGGAGCAAAATATGAAGCAACAAAGTATGCTCTTCCCTATAATGCTGTATCAACTAGATGACATTTTTCAGATAAGGAAGGAGGAATAATCATGACAGAACTGAGACTCTACTGATCCATGGTGCTGTGCATTAAAACAAGAAACTATGGGTGCCTCTCCCTCTTGGTATAGGGACACATCTGATGACAGTGTTTCAAAGGCAGTTTTAAGTATTTAACATTTGCAAGCAATCCACCTGTGCCTCTGCAATTTTCTTTGCACTAATGATGCATTTGTTCACATTCATTTGCACCAGCCACAAGAAAAAAACCTCATTAGAAGCTGCTGGTGATAAAATAGTTGAATCAATTGACTGGTTAGCTAACATACGGTGTCTTCATCAAACGGTATCAAAAGAGATTCAAGTGTGAGTCAGCAAATGTTCATAAATTGGATACCTGAGTAATACTTTATAACAAACTGCTGTAGTGTTTTTCTCAACATCATCATCTCAACATCATAAGCCCTGTTATTTTTATTGCAGTTGTACCTAAAAGATATAGTTACAAACTGGAATCCAAAAGTGAGCATGAGGCAAGAAGAAGGCAGTTCCAGTCCCTGAAAGCTTCCAGTGTAGGTAAATATACAAGAAAAACACAGTTTATGAAAATCAGATTATTAAAGGGGAGAATCATGGAATGCACATGCTCTGTGCTTAGTCCCCCATGGATTTCTGGCTAGGGCTTTTTCACTAAAGTTCAGTCATGTCTTGCTCAGATGTTCTTTCATCTATTCTTCATTAGGAATTGAAACCTGAATAATTCCCAGGGTCCTCTTCTATCCACTAAGAGGGGTGTGTACCCACTCAAGAGCTGATGAGGTGATGCTTGATCTGAAGAAATGCTGTTCTGAAACAATGGCTGAGCAGGAACAGCTCTTTCGGTGGATCAAAACAGAGCTTAGCAGAAAGATACCATGAGCTAAGAAAAGCTTCAGAGTTGTTTGAAACAGAGGTCATGCTACCTAAAGACAATTAGGGAGCTAGCAGTAAATAAGACACTCGGGCTGAATTTATGTAAAAGCACAAAGGACTCCAGAGTAATTAGTTAACAGTAAAGGGAATTAAAGGGAAAAAAAAAGTAATTTCCAGCTGTACTGAGGTCTGTGTTAGGAGAGGGATGAGAAAGCAGAGCACAGCAGAAAATCAAGATGATGCCTTTCAAATGCAAGAAAAAGAGCACCCAGCTGCCACAAACAAAGTTGCCATAAGCTTCCCTAGAGTCATGACTTTATACCATGGGCGAGTTCAGAGGGGCTGCACTTTATCCTCATCCATTTGTCTTTCAAATAATGGAACTGTGATTCTGAAGGCAATGGAAATATTTCCTTTAATGGGCTTTGGATCAAGCTCTAACAAATGTTTTAAAAAGAAGCTGTGAAACACGTCTCACCTGCTGAAAGTCATGCTGAAAACTGCTACTTTTCACAACTTTTTAGACTGCATGAAGGCTACAGATAATGATACATAGCATTTGCATCAGAAGACACGATAATTCCACATACTGAGACAAGACAGAGAAGTTTATCTTGTCCAATATAATGTAGGTAGAATATTTCGTCTGCCAGGAAAACTGGACTTCTCTCAGTAAGTGTGTGCCTGTCGAGGGACAAAAATCAAAAGATCTGAGGCAGACCTGATAAATGCATCACTGCAAAAGAAAGAGGGGAAGGAAGGATGAAATATGCTACTTGGGACACAGCTGTTCGTAAATCCCTGTTGCAGCAAGGGATTGCTTAAGCATAAGTCTAACTCTAAACTGATATCTCTGACTTACAAAATGCTTAAATGCTTATCACACTAGTGCTAGCACCTATGGTCCTGCCTGAATTACCCATGTGCTGCCTCTGGGTAAACAGCTCAATTAGGCAAAGTCACTGTGACAAAAGGAAGAAATGAAAATCCAGTTGCATAAATCCATGCAAAGTTACCACACACAAGAGCTAACTAGAAATACCCCAAAATATCATTCCATATCTAGCAATCCTGGGAATTTACCCTACAGAAAGATGGACGTGTCGGGTGCAGTTCATTCATGTGGATCATAAGGCAGCTCTTAAAGCCCAGTTCAGAAACGTGTCTAGTCAGTTTTCCAACCGCAGGATGTCCTTGACAGAGGGTTAGGGTGCGGTAAGGATGCAGCAGCAGATGCCATAGCCCTTTCCCAGCACAGGGTTTGAATCTAGATAGAATGCCTTTCTATATTAGATGAAATCTGTCTTCAGGAATTACTCCAAAGCCCTTTGAGTCTCTCCCAACCTTTAGTCTCACAACACTCTGTGAGAAGTTTTTCTCTGGTTTATTTAAAAGGCATCCCTTTGTTTGTTTTTAATCTGCTCATTCCATTGGTTTGATCCACATCCTTGCCCTCTCTGAGTAACTCCATTATTACACAACATAAGCATTATATGCAGAAAGGGAAAACAAGCAAACCTATCCAAGGTCTGCTTGAGTCAAAACTGCTTAATGTTCAAAAAGAATACTTTGCAATGTTTCTGTAGAAGACATTAGACTGGGAAGAAATGAGAGCTCATTAAAATTGTCACACATACTTTTTAAGTAAAGAACTTGAGAAATCAAGCAGGGTTGATAGGTTCAGCTTTTAATTAACCAGGCCAAACAAACTATCTCCGAAAGTGTTGTCTCATGTGAGTGAAAGAGTGTTGATGGCTATTTGCTTTGATCTTAAGAGTATGAAAGAATAATATGTATTTAACAAGGCTGATGGAAAAATAAAATCTGCGAAAAGACAGAGGTGTCAACTCATTGGATTTTAAGGTGTAAGAGGTAAATTTTGTGCATTGCTATACTGTTCAGCCAATCTGTTTTAGATGTGTGATTTTAATTCATAGATATGTATTACATTAACTCAATACAACAAATGTCTTTGAAATCCCCATCAAAATCGGTTGACCTATACTGGTGTAAAACTGGGGCAAACCAAGCTTACTTCTGCAGGTTTCCAGCACTGCCAGTAGGGTAGCTATCTCTTCAAGAGAGTAAAGTAATTCCTTTCAAAATAAAGTAGCCCTGATACTTAATGTAAAGATTCACTCTTCTGTCTGCCTCTAACATCAAGTGTCTGACACCTCACAATGTTATTGAAGTCATGATCATAGCACTGTGCAGATAAAAAGGGAGTA